AGGTGTTGAAATTGACAAGCCACTTCTTGCTCCAGTTAACAACAGATTGAAGGTCAGGCTTACTATTTAGATAGGAGTATCATCAGCATAGATACGGAATCGAGGATTAATGCCATTAGGTAGGTCGTTGATCAAAATACGGGACAGGATTCTGTTGCTGCTGATGTTAATGATGAGAATAATATTTATCATTCGTAGCAAAATATTTAGAAAACATTACATCCGCGAACATGCAATATATCTTTGGGTGTTCCCGGTGTAATAAAGTTTTACCAGAAAGGATATAAAAAGAAATGTAAGATAGATTTATTTAAATACAGGGCGCGACAAAAGTAACAACCTTTTTAAATTATGAACTTTTATTGGAAAAAATAAATTACAATAATTTAAGAAAAATTATAAGTACTAGAAAAATCTGTGAAAATTTTACGATTTTTCTATTTTAATATTCTTAATTTAATGATTGAATAAGCTCATGGCGAATTCTATGACAATAAAATATCCTTAGAAATTCCCGAATTGCATCGTTAAATAATTGAGCTTAACAACTTTAACAAAATATTTCAATAACAATCATAAATGTGAATGCTGGTCATTATTTTAAGAAGTAAGGGGGTACAAATGAAAAGATTGTAAATTGACAACTTTCTCCATTTCTCTGAAACAGATTTTAAATACTTCTATATAACCTTCTTTCTTTTATTTATTTTCTCACTGAAACCAAGTAGTGTCTTTGATATGTGTTTTGTTTTTCCACACGATCAAAATGGAATAGTTCATTATTTATGGGGTATTGGCAGGGGACGTTAAACACTTCTATCTTCTTTCTTTCATTTTCTCACTGAAACCAAGTAGTACCTCCCCATTCTTTCCATGCGATCAAAATGGAACAGTGCCTTATTTATTAGGTATTGGCAAGGCGTAAAGTTCGTGCAAATTAGCGAAGAGATGGACAAGCACAGGATTGTCACGTCAAAACATGTTTTGTTATGATTAACAGACTATTTAACATGTTTCAAAATGCTCGCCTTCATGTTCAATACTTCGCTGAACCCTATGAGCAACACCTCTATAAACCATTTGACACATTTCTATACATTTCTGTGTGTGTATGTATGTATTTGAGTATTTAGGCAGCAAATAATCTTCTAGTCATGTCTGATTGAATAAATTACAAACATTATGTATGCTTATTTTCATCATAATCCTTTCATATTCACGAATATTTTTCCGTATATTACAACTGAATAAGGCAAGAAAAGCACTGTAACAGTGAGAATCATTTTTATTTCCCAAGTACTTTCCATCTCTTTCTGAGATCATCATCAGGGGTGCAACTGGTAAGGCAAAAACTATGTGTAACTATCCATTACTGAAATTCCATAATGGATAACTTTTCACGTTCTAATAAACGCTAAAGCATAACTGTCAGCCGTAGCATTTAAACGCAAAAGAAAAAAAATCAGTAATAGATATATTTACTAATGTTTACCCAATACAAGGCCCAAGAGACACTCAAGGTAGAGGCTTACTCTGTGGTCTGCGTAGGAAAGAACAAGCCTTAGGAGTATAGGGTTGAAGTAGACTTTAGAGGGAACCGGAAACCCAATCCTAAACAAGAAACAAACCTCTCATCCTGTTTAAATACCTAGGAAGGGTGTGAACCAGATGATAGGTGAACCTATCTACTCCTATTAAATACTACCATGTCAAATATCATCAGTATTCCATTGAATAAATCTGTATTAGGATTTTGTTGTCTGCAGTAAATTGGTTCCTCTCAGATGACAAAGTCTTCCGCTACCAGTGAACCATCAAAATGCCATTCTTTTTCATTTTATTCCAACTATTACATCACAACATCTTGGCCAAGTACCCTCTAGAGATCTTCAGGTGTCCATTATTTTGGCTGATAGAGAATATCTGTCGATTCTGTCGATATTTTGTCTCTGTAATGTTAGTTCTTAATTGTTCCTGATGAACCAGTTTAAATCCAAACACGTATTCAATTAGCAATTAGTAGTAAAAAAAAAATACTGGAATGCATCTTTGGCTATCGAAATATAACCTCTGGATTTCAGTGATTTACTTTTCATCCTTTGTTTATGTTGTAGAGTAGTTTTCACAATAGAGGCTTGTATTTCACTAAGTCGTCCTAAATTAGGTTCGACGTACAAAACGTTAGGAACTTGTAATAAGAGTTAATGACGCAGCAATCTAGTTGTGATGGTTGATACTTCAATGTCCGACATCGACTGACTCACTCAACACCACTGAGCCCTACTACTACTTATTATGTGTGGGAGAGTCTATTAATAATAGAATAGGTACGTTCAGGTATGACAGTTTAAACCATATTTCTGTTGCTTCATGTCTTTTCTTCATCTTTGAGGAGATTGTCCAGCATTTACTACCACGTAAAGGGACTCATATTACATAATCCAGCGAAAGGCGAGGAAGAAAATTGATCCTGACCAGGAATTTTGCCTCCAGTCACTTT